AGAGAGAGAGAGAGAGAGTCAGAGTCCCCACCCTCTTGGGTTTAGGGCTTAGGGTTTAGGAGTTTAGAGTTTAGGGTTTAGGAGTTTAGGAGTTTAGGAGTTTAGAAGTTTAGGAGTTTAGGGTTTAGGGTTTAGGGTTTCGGGTTTCCGTTGTGGCTTTGTTTTGAGGGGGTCAGTGATTGTTGCTGGTCCTCGTTGCCCGTCGACGAAACTGTGCAGGCGGCGTCGGTTTCCAGGCGATGCAATGTTGAGGAGCTTCATACAAAGTGAACTTGGTGGAGGCCATAATGAAGGCTTAATATGGCCATAATAAGGGTTAATATGGCCACCAAACATACAGAAATTCCAGGGGCACGGAGCACAAACTACGAAAGCGACTTCCACTCTTCTTCCACTCAGCACTTTCTCAGAGGTTAGGGTTTAGGGTTTAGGGTTTAGGATATCCCATCTGCCAGCAGCTGCTGATGTCAAGGGAGGCCCCTGCCTCGTTCCGGATCCAGATCAACAGCCCCATCAGGGCCACGGGGAGCAGAAGCTCGATCAATGCGCTGAGCCATTGCCTGGACCTCCGGCCAAGGGCTGGGGGTTTAGGGTTTAGGGTTTAGGGTTTAGGGTGATAGCAGCGGGGCGTTTTCTGGAGTCGTCTTCTTCAAGAACGGGACGTCTGTCGGGGCATTGCCTAGAGGCCTTCGGGATAGCTTTCGAGAATAACAAAGTCTCTCTCAACAAAACGCCACGCTCACGGTAAAAAGCTCTAAGTGTCACCAAAATTTTGAAAGCACAGTTCAGGATTTTGGATTTCGTCTGCCACCACTCGCATCAGTGCACACGGACGAGCAGCCTCGTTTGCCTGGTTCCTCACTCTTCAACATTCAGCAAGATTAGCAATCAGACTTAATGTATGAACGACGACAACATGAACAATAAGAATAGAATAACAGAAATAGCAATAAAGATACTAACAGTCCACTCAAAATGACAGCCTTAACGACTATGAGAAGAAGCTTACCAATGAGGCCTGAGCCCTAAACAGTTGTCTTTAACCTTGCGGAAGGCTCCCCCGCTGGTGCATTACACCTGCGTCTTGCTGTCCCCCGAAGAAGTGACCCGGTACGCGCCGGTTTAGGGTTTAGGGTTTAGGGTTTAAGGCTAAAGAACCCCTCGTTGTAGAACCCTTAGACCCTTAGGGCTTTGGGTTTAGATCCCGGTAATTCCGTAGAAACCGTTCTGGAGATCGTGAATTATGGCAGCCGTAACCGGTTTACGTCTCCCGACCCCGAGAATGAATGGAAGCTCGCTTGAAGAAGGGATTTCGGGTGGGGGAAAGTCTGCGTGTCGCTTCCGGGGGCTGCAGAAGCCTCGGGGATCAAGAGTTTAGGGTTTTGGGTTTAGGCTCTAGAGTTTAGGCTTGTTTGGGGTTTAGGGGATACAGGCCTGCATGCTTCGTGATCTCAATCAAGCACTCAGCGACAAACCGTTCTTTCACAATTTCTTATCCAACCCCCTTCCATCGCGTCGAAACGGGTGCCAGCTACTTCTGCAGGACACTTGCATTTTGAAGCTAAAGCACGAACTATTCCGGCCCCTCCAGAACTCTAAATGGCCGAGCTTTGAGGGCCGGGCTTCAATGTGAAATTCTTCTGGAGCACGGCGCCCAAACATCGGAGAAAGTGCATGCCCCCAAAGGCTCCGCACGGTCGCACCCCAAGTGGGCACGGCCAATCGAGGAATCAACGGGGTGGTTGATCCTTGATCTTTGGGGCTTGATCTTTGTGGCTTGAACTTTTTCTGCAAAGGGGTCAAGGGCTTTGTGTGCAGTGTGCATTGTGCAGGGGCTCCCTGAGGGGTCTTCCAACATCAGGAAGCATGAAGCATGGGTTGCCGATGGTACACTGAGAGCCAGCGCATCAGTCATGGCTGCATCTGGCACACCGGGTTAGGTGGTGGCACCTGTTGATGTGCCTTTCTTGATCACTGCTCCTCCAGCAGCAGTTATCAAAAGGCTTTGACAAACGACTTAGGTTAGAAGTCTATGGCTGGACGACACATGGCCGACACATGGCCATGGGGTGCGAACAACACGATGCAGAAGCTGCAACATGCATATCAGGGCACTACCGCAACTGCTCAAGCTCAAGCTGCCCCTGGACGATCATGATATGTAGCACTTGGAGGATCACCTTACTTGGAGTTATGTTTACTTATGTATAATTATATGTACCTTATTCATAACCGTAAATACCAAGTCCCATGATCCTCCAAGCATTTCCAGCCACTCGCAGGCTCCTGCAGCTGCCCGCGCAGTGACTCCAACACTTTTTCACAACTACAGAAAGGCAAGCGCTGTCATGGTCTCAGCACGCTTGAAGCGTGGAAATCAAGGAAGTCCTAAGAGCAAAGTGCACAACTACCTGTGGGCGTTGGCCGTACTTGTCCTGGCCAGGTCCGGCAGTCCATCCGGCGAAGAAGGCAGGATTGACACTCGATGCTGCAAGCCTTTTTGAAGTCACGTCCCCTCTCCAGCATGAATGAGAGGCCGGCTCGCAAGATTCTAGCTTTGGCTACGGTCCTGGATGTGCCGTGGGCCAGCCGACGGCCGTTGGCGACGCAGACCAGCTGCGGGAATCTGTTCCGGCCTTGGCAATTCCCCAAACGTGAATGTGTGAGGCAGGCATGCAAAGCACTATGCAGCATATGCAACACCTTTCTAGGGACAGAACGAAACCTGCTGCAAGCCTGAACGTGGCTCTACATTTCGTCTAAATCTTGACTCGCATCTTATTCTGCGAACCCTCTAACCCCTAAGAGCCCCCATGCCCCCTAAGAGCCCCCATGACCCCCTAAGAGCCCCAAGCAGAACTGACACCCCAAATCTCTCGGAAAGACTCAAACACCTGAGGTTTCTCCCTTTGCTTGAAAAGGCAATTTCCAAAGCACTGCTCCGCTGTCTTCACTCCGTCCCCTTCAATTTCACAAACCCCCGCCACCCCACTTTACTAGCTTAGGGTTTAGGGCTGCGGGTTTAGAGTTTAGGGTTTCGGGGTTTTGGGTTTTGGGGTTTTGGGGCTTGGAGCTCAGATCTTCTATCTTCATTGCATTATGTTCTGAGCCACGGTTTAGGGTTTAGGGTTTAGGGTTTAGGAACCGCGGACACTGCTGTCAGTTTGTTCGTCGCGGAGTTCCAATCCATGATACTTGTAGCCCACACTCTGCGTCTATTTGGTTGGACTCTTTGCCTTTGCGGTCTGCCAACCTCCACGCTAGCGGTCAAAGATAGCCTAGAACAAGTTACAGGCATACTCATCTAATGGTCAGAAGCAACTTAATCAAGCGGCGATCCAAGCATTCGCGACGCTGAGCCATGAGTGAGGTGTCCTGGAGAAGTTACCGGCGAAGCACCGGCTGCGGCGGTGTTGACACCACAAAACGAGAACAGGTTCGGATGGAGTTAGAATGCACCTTGTGAGAAAATTGCTTGAAGCGACTTCAAGAGACTGTCACTGAGGGCGGTGTGATTCGGGTTCTGAGGGCTTATTTGCTCAGGGGCCTTGGGACATGGGGCCACGCATCATGCATGGCAGGGGATGCCGCAGTCCTGTGCTTCATGCTTTGGCACCCTAAACCCTAAACCCTAAACCCCTCCAACCCTAAACCCTAAACCCGAAACCCCTAAACCCCTAACCCCTAAACCCGTAAACCCCTAAATCCCTAAACGCCTAAACCC